GGTTCACTCTAGATTTAGCGCAGTAACCGGCCATTTCCACCAGAAAGCAGCTCCTGGGCAGTTCCCTTCCGCTTCCAATAAAACCAAACGATGCTTTGCAATCCCTGTTTCGAGGAAGGGAATATTGATCCGCTTCCTGCAACTGCAGAAGTCCTCAGCTGGGGCAGGTGAGGTGCCCTGAGCAGCACCGACTGCCATGCCAGGTCGTGCCGAAGGTATAAGCCCTGTAGCCTCTTGCTAGAAACCTGGAAGAAGTTTTACCATGGAAAAGAGTAAACAAACATGTATTCAGACACAAATGGGAGACACAACCCAGCCCTTTGGAATGCAAGATCTGTGGCTTTTGGAAGATTGCTAAAAAATGGGGGAAAAATAAGAAAATAATTTGATCGCTGGCTCAGAAATGTAAACAGCCTTACTGGAATCTGCTTTTAAAGGCAGAGCTTTCCAACCACTTCCCAAGGCTGATTATTCTGAGTTTTTCCAACAATTGCGCCCAGCCGGAGCACTTCTGTCCAAAACTAGCACCAAAGATGCTCAGAAAACCTGCACCGTTGGCAACTTCAGACGCTAACGCCAGCACCTGAGCCTGCCCCAGAACAGAGGCACCGAGTCAGGAACCGCTATTTGCATCTTCCACGTGAAACACGGAGCTCTGCAACACCCGTCATGGAAAGATGCCGCAAAATCCACCTTCCCAGTGGGGGTTGTTGGTTGCTTTTGGCATTTCCCCTTTTGTGCTGGTTTTGCCTCTCAGCTCCCGCTGGCGACTACTGCAGGCAACTCTCAGCGCTGAAAACGTATAAATTCTGTAAATCCCACTTGAACTTTCTCCTCTTTTCACTAGGGACTTGCAACAAATGCCTTTGAAGTCTCATAACAAACCCCGCCTTCCCTCTTACCTAACCAAGAACCATCTCCTTGAGGGACACTGGAACTATCTCACAGGCAAAGCTGCCTAGAAATTAACTGGCCGGGGCTTGATTTTTGTTTTAAACCACAAATTCCTCGAACATCGCTCTGTGGCCAGCTGGAAAGTGTCAGATCAGTCTTCAGACCATTTACCCGACGCAGAGTCAGCTTGTTTCACACCTCTCTTAGGGTTCAATTACTCACAAAATAGACATTTACGCTGTGAATAGGCTCTCTGAGATCAATGAAGGGCTCCGCTGTGATTAAGCCAACCCCGCGTGTTCGCTCTGCAGGGGATACTTGCAGAGGGAGGTGCTGCCTGCAGCAGGATCGGGGACCTCTCCTTTACATCCAAGTTATTTTAAGCCTAAGAGATGCCACAGCAACGCAACAGGCAAAGAACTGAGCACCAGCGCTTCTTTGCTGGAAAACGTCCTTTTCTTTCTCACGTAATAAATTACGCTGCTGTATACACATAAAATAAGGTATAAGGGAATCACTTACCCACTGTTTGCGAGCATGATTTCTCCTCTTGAAGTACAAAATTAACTTTTTCCGCATTGCCTGGTTTCTGTAAAGAAAAAAAAAGATGTGATCCGATTAATGAGACGGCTAAAATCCAAAGCCTGGCTCTCCCCACTCCCAAAGGAGTTTGCAACGCAGTTTCCACCTTAACTCGGAATTGCATCAACTTCAGAGCCGCAAACACGGTTATCTAGGGACCTCGCGCCAGCCTTAGAGAAAGACCAACAAACCCTCCAACGCGAGGAACTTCACCCGCATCTGTTGGCAAAACCAGGACTAAGGATGAGAACTACGGTTATAAACTCCCAATTCTGCAAACCTTGACCGTGCGCTCAGCACCGAACGCGTGCAGACGTTCAGCTCTGCGTTTACCAGCGGGCCAGGCCGTTTCTCGATTATTTTTACATTTTGATCTGCAAAAACGCAATGGGGTCCCAAGAGTTGGGGGGCAGGAGGTGGCTCCCCCCAGCACCCCCTGAGCAGAGGCCACCCTGAGCCGCCCCGGTCCCCAGGGCCAGCAGCGAGGGAGCTGTCAGCACACACACACACACTCCCAAAGGGTTATTCACCCCCGGGCTCCGAGGTGCTGATAAGGAGGCAGGATTGCGGCAGGGATTGCAGCAAGTATCTCCTAACCTCTTGCTTTCTTGGAGCCGTGCCTAACAAAGCTGCAAACAAACCAGCCAGGAAAGTTCAGCCACTTGCAGAAC